CGGGTGAGTTGTTAGGTGATTGAGTGAGTAGGTGAGTGGGTTAGTGAGTGATTGGGTGGGTGAGCAAATGAGTGGGTAGGTGAGCGAGTAGGTAGTTGAGTGGGTGGGAAGGTGATTGATTGGGTGGGTGAGCAAGTGAGTGGGTAGGTGAGCGAGTAGGTAGTGAGTGGGTGGGAAGGTGATTGATTGGGTGGGTGAGCAAGTGAGTGGGTAGGTGAGCGAGTAAGTAGGTAGTTGAGTGGGTGGGTAGGTGAGTGATTGGGTGGGTTAGCAAGTGATGTGGGTAGGTGAGCGGAGTAGGTAGTTGAGTGGGTGGGTAGGTGATTGATTGGGTGGAGTGAGCAAGTGAGTGGGTAGGTGAGCGAGTAGGTAGTTGAGTGGGTGGGTAGGTGATTGATTGGGTGGGTGAGCAAGTGAGTGGGTGAGTGAGTGAGTGGGTGAGTGGATGACGTGAGCGGGTGAGTTGGTAGGTGAGTGAGTGAGTGAGTAGGTAGGTGAGTGATTGGGTTGGTGAGCAAGTGAATGGGTAGGTGAGTGAGTGGGTGAGTGGATGTCTGAGTGGGTGAGTTGGTAGGTGAGTGAGTGAATAGGTAGGTGAGTGGGTACGTGAGTGATTGGGTGGGTAAGCAAGTGAGTAAGTAGGTGAGTCAGTGGGTGAGTGGATGAGTGAAGCGGGTGAGTTGTTAGGTGAGTGAGTGAGTAGGTGAGTGGGTTCGTGAGTGATTGGGTGGGTGAGCAAGTGAGTGAGTAGGTGAGTGAGTGGGTGAGTGGGTGAGTGAGCGGGTGAGTTGTTAGGTGATTGAGTGAGTAGGTGAGTGGGTTAGTGAGTGATTGGGTGGTGAGCAAATGAGTGGGTAGGTGAGCGAGTAGGTAGTTGAGTGGGTGGAAGGTGATTGATTGGGTGGGTGAGCAAGTGAGTGGGTAGGTGAGCGAGTAGGTAGTTGAGTGGGTTGGTAGGTGATTGATTGGGTGGGTGAGCAGGTGAGTGAGTTCGTGAGTGAGTGGGTGAGTTGGTAGGTGAAGCAGTGAGTGATTAGGTCAGTGGGTCGGTGAGTGAGTGGGTGAGTGGATGAGTGAGCAGGTGAGTTGGTAGGTGAGTGAGTGACTAGGTAGGTGAGTGGGTTAGTGAGTGATTGGGTGGCGTGAGCAAGTGAGTGGGTAGGTGAGCGAGTAGGTAGTTGAGTGGATGGGTAGGTTAGTGATTGGGTGGGTGAGCAAGTAAGTGGGTAGGTGAGTGAGTGGGTGAGTGGATGTCTGAGCGGGTGAGTTGGTAGGTGAGTGAGTAGGTAGGTGAGTGGGTAGGTGGGTGATTGGGTGGGTGAGCAAGTGAGTGGGTACGTGAGCGAGTAGGTAGTTGAGTGGGTGGGTAGGTGAGTGATTGGGTGGGTGAGCAAGTGAGTGAGTTGGTGAGTGAGTGAGTGAGTGGGTGAGTGAGCTGGTGAGTTGGAAGATGAGTGAGTGAATAGGTAGGTGAATGTGGGTAGGTGAGTGATTGGGTGGGTGAGCAAGTGAGTGGGTAGGTGAGCGAGTAGGTAGTTTAGTGGGTGGGTAGGTGATTGATTGGGTGGGTGAGCAAGTGAGTGAGTTCGTGAGTGAGTGAGTGAGCGGGTGAGTTGGTAGGTGAGTGAGTGAGTAGGTAGGTGAGTTAGTGAGTGATTGGGTGGGTGAGCAAGTGAGTGGCTAGGTGAGCGAGTAGGTAGTTGAGTGGGTGGGTAGGTGAGTGATTGGGTGGGTGAGCAAGTGAGTGAGTAGGTGAGTGAGTGAGTGAGCGGGTGAGTTGCTAGGTGAGTGAGTGAGTGAGTAGGTAGGTGAGTGGGTTAGTGAGTGATTGGGGGGGTGGGCATGTGAGTGGGTAGGTGAGCGAGTAGGTAGTTGAGTAGATGGGTAGGTGAGTGATTGGGTGGGTGAGCAAGTGAGTGAGTTGGTGAGTGAGTGGGTGAGTGGGTGAGTGAGCGGGCGAGTTGGTAGGTGAGTGAGTGAGTGAGTAGGTAAGTGAGTGGGTAGGTGATTGTTTGGGTGGGTGAGCAAGTGAGTGGGTAGGTGAGCGAGTGAGTAGGTAGGTGAGTGGGTGAGTGAGCGGGTGAGTAGGTAGGTGAGTGGGTTAGTGAGTGATTGGGGGGGTGAGCAGTTGAGTGGGTGAGTGAGCGGGTGAGTTGGTAGGTGAGTTAGTGAGTAGGTAGGTGATTGGGTTAGTGAGTGATTGGGGGGGTGAGCAAGTGAGTGAGTAGGTGAGTGAGTGAGTGAGCGGGTGAGTTGGTAGGTGAGTGTGTAGGTAGGTGAGTGGGTAGGTGAGCGAGTAGGTAGTTGAGTGGGTGGGTATGTGAGTGATTGGGTGGGTGAGCAAGTGAGTGAGTAGGTGAGTGAATGAGTGAGTGAGCGGGTGAGTTGGTAGGTGAGTTAGTGAGTAGGTAGGTGAGTGTGTAGGTGAGTGATTGGGTGGGTGAGCAAGTGAGTGAGTGAGTGAGCGGGTGAGTTGGTAGGTGAGTTATTGAGTAGGTAGGTAGGTGAGTGTGTAGGTGAGTGATTGGGTGGGTGAGCAAGTGAGTGAGTGAGTGGCTGAGTGAGCGGGCTGAGTGAGCGGCTGAGTTGGTTAAGTGTCCGTGTGCTGGTGAGTCGCTGTCTGGCTGTCTGTCTGTCTGTGTGTGTGAGCACTTGCCCCAACAGTCTGTCGAGGCTACACGCGCGATGTGCAGCTTTGTTCTCTGTGCGTGCAATGGAGGAGCGGTGGCGCTGCGGTTAGCGCCCAACGCCGGTTCCTGGTTCCTCCCTCTAGAGGGGGTCGACTCAGCATCGAATGAGTCCCTTGGCAAGGGCGTAGCAAACATCGCTCCCTTGGGGGGGAGGGTTGTTGGGAGATACAAAGGCGGCCGGGCGCGTGTGCGTTGGTGTCACATGCTGACAGCACTTGCCCCCTCGTCGGGAGCTTTTGCATTTGTGTAATTTTTTTTTGCACCGCGATATTTAAAACGAACAACAATGAAACATTATTATTATTTTTTTTAGAAATCAGGAAAATCGAGATGCCATCTCTGTCGGGATTGGGTTTCTCTCGCGCAGGCTGGACAGAGGCAAAGGTTACCCGGGTAGCTTTCCAGCGGGCTGGGGAGGGGGGCATAGGCACCCTAGGCACACACCACACACACACACACAGAGGTGTATGTGGTGTGTGGTGTGGTGTGTGGCAAGCTCCAGCCACGCCCGGCCGCCTTTGTCTCCCTTTTGGCAAACTTTTAATGACACACCGCAAACCAGGTACTCATTTGAGGCTGAGCCGACCTAGGGGAGGCAGGTGCAGGATGTTGTGTGCGTCGCGGTGGTCGAGGAGATGTTGACTACCTCGCCTGGTACGCAGGAGGTCGTGGGTTCAATCACAGACCCTGAGAGATGTTGACTACCTCGCCTGGTACGCAGGAGGTCGTGGGTTCAATCACAGATACTGAGTAGATGTTGACTACCTCGCCTGGTTCGCAGGAGATCGTTGGTTCAATCACAGATACTGAGAGATGTTGACTACCTCGCCTGGTACACAGGAGGTCGTGGGTTCATTCCTAGAGACTGAGAGATGTTGACTACCTCGCCTGGTACACAGGAGGTCGTGGGATCTATCTTAGACACTGAGAGATGTTGACTACCTCCCCCGGTATACAGGAGGTCGTGGGTTCAATCCCAGACACTGAGAGATGTTGACTACCTCGCCTGGTACGCAGGAAATCGTGGGTTCAATCCCAGACACTGAGAGATGTCGACTACCTCGCCTGGTACGCAGGAGGTCGTGGGTTCAATCCCAGACACTGAGAGATGTTGACTACCTCGCCTGGTACGCAGGAGGTCGTGGGTTCAATCCCAGACACTGAGAGATGTTGACTACCTCGCCTGGTACACAGGACGTCGTGGATTCAATCCCAGACACTGAGAGATGTTGACTACCTCGCGTGGTACACAGGAGGGCGTGGGTTCAATCCCAGACACTGAGAGATGTTGACAACCTCGCCTGGTACACAGGAGGTCGTGGGTTCAATCCCAGCCACTGAGAGATGTTCACTACCTCGCCTGGTACACAGGAGGTCGTGGGTTCAATCCCAGCCACTGAGAGATGTTGACTACCTCGCCTGGTACACAGGAGGTCGTGGTTTCAATCCCAGACACTGAGAGATGTTGACTACCTTGCGTGGTACACAGGAGGTCGTGGGTTCAATCCCAGACACTGAGAGATGTTGACTACCTCGCCTGGTACGCAGGAGGTTGTGGGTTCAATCCCAGACACTGAGAGATGTTGACTACCTCGCCCGGTACACAGGAGGGCGTGGGTTCAATCCCAGACACTGAGAGATGTTGACTACCTCGCCTGGTACGCAGGAGGTCGTGGGTTCAATCCCAGACATTGAGAGATGTTGACTACCTCACCTGGTACGCAGGAGGTCGTGGGTTCAATCCAGGACACTGAGAGATGTTGACTACCTTGCCTGGTACGCAGGAGGGCGTGGGTTCAATCCCAGACACTGAGAGATGTTGACTACCTCGCCTGGTACGCAGGAGGGCGTGGGTTCAATCCCAGACACTGAGAGATGTTGACTACCTCGCCTGGTACGCAGGAGGGCGTGGGTTCAATCCCAGACACTGAGAGATGTTGACTACCTCGCCTGGTACGCAGGAGGTCGTGGGTTCAATCCCAGACACTGAGAGATGTTGACTACCTCGCCTGTTACGCAGGAGGTCGTGGGTTCAATCCCAGACATTGAAAGATGTTGACTACCTCACCTGGTACACAGGAGGGTGTGGGTTCAATCCCAGACACTGAGAGATGTTGACTACCTCGCCTGATACGCAGGAGGTCGTGGGTTCAATCCCAGACATTGAAAGATGTTGACTACCTCACCTGGTACACAGGAGGGCGTGGGTTCAATCCCAGACACTGAGAGATGTTGACTACCTCGCCTGGTACACAGGAGGGCGTGGGTTCAATCCCAGACACTGAGAGATGTTGACTACCTCGCCTGCCACCAACGTCACACCAACGTTGTTCCACCGCCTCCAACCGCTTACCAACGTCTGCGGGGGTTGGGTTTTGGCCCAACGTTCACCCAACGTCGCGTGCAGGTCACGTGGCCAGCGAGAGAACATGGAGTCGGTGGACATCCTGGACTCGCTGCTGCGAACCAGCGACTACAAGAAGACCATCCGTCCCAACTTCGCAGGTGAGGACACCCCACGTGACGCACACGGGGGGAGGGGGGGGTGGGTCACGTGGGGGGGGGGGTCACGGGGGGTGGGTGTCACGGGGGGTGAGGTGGGGGTCAGGTGGCTATGAGATGTTGACTACCTCGCCTGGCCTACAGGAGATGGTGGATTTCTCTCTATCATCATCATCACAGTTGCTAGGAGATGTTGACTACCTCGCCCGGTCTACGGCGGCTAGGAGATGTTGACTACCTCGCCTGGTGTACAGGAGATGGTGGGTTTCTCTTTATCATCATCATCACGGTGGCTATGAGATGTTGACTACCTCGCCTGGTCTACAGGAGATGGTGGGTTTCTCTCAATCATCATCAACAAGGTGGCTATGAGATGTTGACTACCTCGCTTGGTGTGCAGGAGATGGTTGGTTTCTATCTATCATCATCATCACGGTGGCTAGGAGATGTTGACTACCTCGCCTGGTCTAGAGGAGATGGTGGGTTTCTCTCTATCACTGCCATCATCATCATCACGGTGGCTAGGAGATGTTGACTACCTCACCTGGTGTACAGGAGATGGTGGGTTTCTCTCTATCATCATCATCATCATCACGGTTGCTATGAGATGTTGACTACCTCGCCTGGTCTACAGGAGATGGTGGGTTTCTCTCTATCATCAACATCATCATGGTGGCTAGGAGATGTTGACTACCTTGCCTGGTCTAGAGGTGATTGTGGGTTTCTCTCTATCATCCTCATCATCATCACGGTGGCTATGATATGTTTACTACCTCGCCTGGTGTACAGGAGATGGTGGGTTTCTCTCTATCACTTTCATCATCATCACGGTGATAGAAGATGTTGACTACCTTGCCTGATCTACAGGAGATGGTGGGAATCTCTCAATCACTGTCATCATCATCGTGGCGGCTCGGAGATGTTGACTACCTCGCCTGGTTTACAGGAGATGGTGGGTTTATCTCAATCACTGTCATCATCATCATCACGGTGGCTAGGAGATGTTGACTACCTCGCCCGGTCTACAGGAGATGGTGGGTTACTTCAAACCACGGTGATGATGATGGCAGAGAGATGCAGACTCCAAATGTACAGTGGCAGGCATCGTCAGAGTCGGGATCGAACCCACGACTTCCTGTGCACCAAGCGAGGTAGTAAACATCTCTCAGTGTGTGGGATTGAACCCACGACCTCCTGTGCACCAGGCGAGGTAGGAAACATCTCTCAGTGTCTGGGATTGAACCCAGGACCTCCAAGGTACCAGGCGAGGTTGTCAACATCTCTCAGTGTCTGGAATTGAACTCACGACCTCCCGTGTACCAGGCGAAGTAAGTAACATCTATCAGTGTCTGGTAATGAACCCAGGACCTCCTGCGTACCAGGCGAGGTAGTCAACATCTCTCAGTGTCTGGGATTGAACCCACGACCTCCCGTGTACGAGGCGAGGTAGTCAACATCTCTCAGTGTCTGGGATTGAACCCAAGACCTCCTGCGTACCAGGCGAGGTAGTCAACATCTCTCAGGGTCTGGAATTGAACCCACGACCTCCTGTGTACCAAGCGAGGTAGTCAACATCTCTCAGTGTCTGAGATTGAACCCACGACCTCCAAGGTACCAGGCGAGGTAGTCAACATCTCTCAGTCTCTGGGATTGAACCCACGACCTACCGTGTACGAGGCGAGGTAGTCAACATCTCTGAGTGTCTGGGATTGAACCCACGACCTCCTGTGTATCAGGCGAGGTAGTCAACATCTCTCAGTGTCTGGGATTGAACCCACGACCTCCCGTGTACCACGCGAGGTAGTCAACATCTCTTAGACCACTGTGTTGTGCCAAATCCGATGTCGACTAACAGAGGTTATTAATGACAATGTCTACCCCCACAGGCGATCCCGTGGTGGTGAATATCAGCATCTACCTCAAGAGCTTCAGTGATATCCAGGAGTCCACCATGGTGATTCGACCACATCCACCACTTTCACCCACTACCTACAAGCATCACTCACTACCTACACAACTATCACTAACACCTACACAACTATCACTCACTACCTACACAACTATCACTAACTACCTACACAACTATCACTCACTACCGACATAACTATCACTCACTACCTACACAACCATCACTCACTACCTACACAACTATCACTCACTACCTACACAACTATCACTCACTACCTACACAACTATCACTCACTACCTACACAACTATCACTCACTAACTACAACTATCACTCACTACCTACACAACTATCACTCCCTACCTACAACTATCACTCACTACCTCCAACTATCACTCACTACCTACACAACTATCACTCACTACCTACAACTATCACTCATTACCTACACAACTATCACTCACTACCTACACAACTATCACTCACTACCTACACAACTATCACTCATTACTTACACAACTATCACTCACTACCTACACAACTATCACTCACTACCTACACAACTATCACTCACTACCTACAACTATCACTCACTACCTACACAACTATCACTCACTACCTACAACTATCATTCACTACCTACACAACTATCACTCACTACCTACACAACTATCACTCACTACCTACACAACTATCACTCACTACCTACAACTATCATTCACTACCAACACAACTATCACTCACTACTTACACAACTATCACTCATTACTTACACAACTATCACTCACTACCTACACAACTATCACTCACTACCTACAACTATCACTAGCTACCTACACAACTATCACTCACTACCGACATAACTATCACTCACTACCTACACAACTATCACTCACTACCTACACAACTCTCACTCACTACCTACAACTATCACTCACTACCTACACAACTATCACTCACTACCTAAACAACTATCACTCACTACCTAAACAACTATCACTCACTACCTACAACTATCACTCCCTACCTACAACTATCACTCACTACCTACACAACTATCACTCACTACCTACACAACTATCACTCACTACCTACACAACTATCACTCATTACCTACACAACTATCACTCATTACCTACACAACTATCACTAACTACCTACACAACTATCACTCACTACCTACACAACTATCACTCATTACCTACACAACTATCACTCACTACCTACAACTATCACTCACTACCTACACAACTATCACTCACTACCTACAACTATCACTCACTACCTACACAACTATAACTAACTACCTACACAACTATCACTCACTACCTACACAACTATCACTCACTACCTACACAACTATCACTCACTACCTACACAACTATCACTCACTACCTACAAAACTATCACTCACTATCTACAACTATCACTCACTACCTACACAATTATCACTCACTACCTACAACTATCACTCACTACCTACACAACTATCACTAACTACCTACACAACTATCACTCACTACCGACATAACTATCACTCACTACCTACACAACTATCACTCACTACCTACACAACTATCACTAACTACCTACACAACTATCACTCACTACCTACACAACTATCACTCACTACCTACAACTATCACTCACTACCTACACAACTATCACTAACTACCTACACAACTATCACTCACTACCTACAACTATCACTCACTACCTACACAACTATCACTCACTACCTACACAACTATCACTCACTACCTACACAACTATCACTCACTACCTACACAACTATCACTCACTACCTACACAACTATCACTCACTACCTACACAACTATCACTCACTACCTACACAACTATCACTCACTACCTACACAACTATCACTCACTACCTACAACTATCACTCACTACCTACACACTATCACTCACTACCTACACAACTATCACTCACTACCTACACAACTATCACTCACTACCTACAACTATCACTCACTACCTACACAACTATCACTCACTACCTACACAACTATCACTCACTACCTACAACTATCACTCACTACCTACACAACTATCACTCACTACCTACAACTATCACTCACTACCTACACAACTATCACTCACTACCTACAACTATCACTCACTACCTACACAACTATCACTCACTACCTACAACTATCACTCACTACCTACACAACTATCACTCACTACCTACACAACTATCACTCACTACCTACAACTATCACTCACTACCTACAACTATCACTCACTACCTACACAACTATCACTCACTACCTACACAACTATCACTCACTACCTACAACTATCACTCACTACCTACACAACTATCACTCACTACCTACACAACTATCACTAACTACCTACAACTATCACTCACTACCTACAACTATCACTCACTACCTACACAACTATCACTCACTACCTACACAACTATCACTCACTACCTACAACTATCACTCACTACCTACAACTATCACTCACTACCTACACAACTATCATTCACTACCTACACAACTATCACTAACTACCTACACAACTATCACTCACTACCTACACAACTATCACTCACTACCTACACAACTTTCACTCACTAACTACAACTATCTCTCACTACCTACACAACTATCACTAACTACCTACACAACTATCACTCACTACCTACAACTATCACTCACTACCTACACAACTATCACTCACTAACTACACAACTATTACTCACTACCTACAACTATCACTCACTACCTACAACTATCACTCACTACCTACACAACTATCACTCACTACCTACAACTATCACTCACTACCTACAACTATCACTCACTACCTACACAATTATCACTCACTACCTTCAACTATCACTCACTACCTACAACTATCACTCACTACCTACACAACTATCACTCACTACCTACAACTATCACTCACTACCTACAACTATCACTCACTACCTACAACTATCACTCACTACCTACACAACTATCACCCACTACCTACAACTATCACCCACTACCTACACAACTATCACTCACTACCTACACAACTATCACTCACTACCTACAACTATCACTCACTACCTACACAACTATCACTCACTACCTACACAACTATCACTCACTACCTACACAACTATCACTCACTACCTACAACTATCACTCACTACCTACACAACTATCAGTCACTACCTACACAACTATCACTCACTACCTACACAACTATCACTCACTACCTACAACTATCACTCACTACCGACATAACTATCACTCACTACCTACACAACTATCACTCACTACCTACAACTATCACTCACTACCTACACAACTATCACTCACTACCTACACAACTATCACTCACTACCTACAACTATCACTCACTACCTACAACTATCACTCACTACCTACACAACTATCACTCACTACCTACACAACTATCACTCACTACCTACACAACTATCATTCACTACCTACACAACTATCACTCACTACCTACACAACTATCACTCACTACCTACACAACAATCACTCACTACCTACACAACTATCACTAACTACCTACACAACTATCACTCACTACCTACACAACTATCAATCACTACCGACATAACTATCACTCACTACCTACACAACTATCACTCACTACCTACACAACTATCACTCACTACCTACACAACTATCACTCATTACCTACACAACTATCACTCATTACCTACACAACTATAACTCACTACCTACACAACTATCACTCACTACCTACACAACTATCACTCACTACCTACACAACTATCACTCACTACCTACAACTATCACTCATTACATACACAACTATCACTCACTACCTACACAACTATCACTCACTACCTACACAACTATCAATCACTACCTGCAACTATCACTCACTACCTACACAACTATCACTCACTACCTACACTACTATCACTCACTACCTACACAACTATCACTCACTACCTACACAACTATCACTCTACCTACAACCACCACCACCACCCACCACCACCACCCACCACCCACCACCACCACCCACCACCTACCACCACTACTACCACCACAACCACCACTACCAACAATAATAACAACCGCCATTCGCCACTAAGTGGCGGTGACATCACCACAATGTTTGTGCCAGGCCAGGTGCACCTTGAGGCCATGTGAAGTGTCGACCGCCCGCTGGCAGGAGGTCACGAGGCAGACCCACCAGGTGCCACGGGTCGACTGACTGAGATGACTGAGATGACTGGCTGATGCACCACCTGTGCCCCCTACTTTGCCAACCTGCTGTGTTTTAGCCACCCGACGCTCCGCTTGTTGTTGTGAGCGTCGCTCCTCCGCCCTCCGTTGTTGTAGGAGGGCGACTGCCTCCAACTGCCCAGTAGCGTCCTTCACGAGCCTCCTCCACAGAGGCCGATCTTGACACCACTGGTACCAGTCATCGGCAAGTCCACTCAGCTCCACGTCCTCCTGTACCACATCACTCCATCTCTTCTCTAGCCCGTGCCGCGCCCGTTTAGCCCCCTCGATCCGGCCAAACAAAAGCTGTTTCGGCATTCGGTGGCTGGGCATGCGGGCTACATGACCGAGCCAGCGCAGCCTTGCCTGCCGGAGGAGCTCACCGATGGGACCTTGCCCAGATCTTTCAAGGATTTGTGAGCTCCTCACACAATCCAGCCTGCTGGTCAAACCCAGGATGGATCGTAGGCAGGCCAGCCTAAAAGTTTCTAAACGGCGAAGATGCTCCATTAGGGGGGGTCCACGTTTCGCAAGCGTAGAGAAGGGAGGGAATGACCGAGAAGACCTGAAGCTTAGTGCGGAGCGACAGACCAGGTAGCTTCCACACAGCGTTACGCAACCGATGAAAATATATTGCCGCTCGACTGATTCGGAGTGAGACCTCTGCTGTTAAACTGGAGCCGGTCATGAGCACACTGCCCAGGTATGGGAAACTCTCCACTCTCTCCACAACTGCCCCATCGCCGATTTTGGAGTTGTTGGGGTGGAGGGTCCAATGGTCCAAAATACCCAGGCAGGTGCTTAGTTATGGTGGGGGTGACTTCTTCCAATATTTGAGGCACTGCAGCCTCAGCAGGCTCATCCCCACTTTGTGCCACGTTGTTCTCTTAGCTGAACGATTTTCCCTCCCCCTGGACCTCACGGAAATGCTCAGCAAATCTGCAAACCTGTTCCTGGTGGTCGGAGATTGGAACAACGTTTTTCCCCCTAATGATGGTAATAGGTGTGGTGCTGCAGGTTACTTTTTTGATGGAGTTAAATAGAGATTTGTGATCACGGGCCACTGAGGCAGACTCCATCTCCTCAGCAACCCGCGACCACCACCCATCCTTGCAGCGCCTCACGGCTCTCCGAACCTCCGAACGAAGGCTGCAGTAAGCCTCCACATTCTCTGACGTGGGATTCTGTAGCCGATGACAGTGGGCCTGTCGCTTTTTCTCAACCATCCTGAACACCTCTGTCAGCCAGGGTCTCTGGGCAGGTCTGGACCGCTACCCAAAGCAGCCATTGCAGCTGCATGAGTCACAGTCCTAAACCTCGCCCATTTACCCTCGACATCAGGAGTAGTGGGGGACGATGCCAACCCCAGCCTTAAGCGATGATTAAATTCTCGCCTGCAACTTTCATCAGTTAACTGAGACCAGGCCACCTTAGGTTGGAATGGGGTCCTGGGTATACACCCACCACCGGAGTGGAAGAATGGCAGGCGCATCTTACAGATGACTAGTCGATGGTCAGAGAGCAGATCAGCTCCACGGTAGGTCCTGGTGTCAAGGACATGGGCTCGCATCCGCTGGTCCATCACTATGTAGTCCAGCAGATGTTCTTGCTTGGACCCGGAATGCATCCATGATGTTGTGTGGATGCGCCGATGCCGGAACAGTGTGTTTGTAATTACAAGCACGTGGGCTGCACAAAAATCTAACAGCCTCCTACCGTTGTCATTGAGCTGATCTGGCCCATGCCCTCCAATCACTCCAGGCCAGGTGCCAGCATCATGACCAACTCGGGCATTGAAGTCACCCAACAAGATGACTCTATCCTGAGGGGCCATTTTAGCCAGCCCCTGTAACAGGAGGTCATAGAAGGCATCTGACTCGGCGGCTTTGCCTGCATCCCTCCACGGATGTTCGTCTTTGGTGGGGGCATAAGTAACCACGACCACCAATCCTCGCCTCCGATTGATGGGAAGGCGAGCCCAAAGTAGCCTGGGGCTTACAGCTTCCCACACCTCACCACCAGGCTCCCACGCCCCCTTCATTCTTTTGTTCAAAAGAAGAGCCAAACCCTGTTGCTTGGCAGTCTCCTGTCCCGAGTAGAGGACTGTCCACCCCTCATGGTAGCAGGAGCCAGAATCGGTCCACCGGACCTCCTGAATGCCACAGAGATCCAGGCGGTACTGGTCCAGCTCCCGACAGAGGAGTGGCAGCCTCTCCTCTGCAAGTGAGCGTTCGAACATTCCACGTGGCCACACGAAGTGGCTTTTCGTTGTTTCTGGAGAAGCCCCGAGGGCAGAGATTCAATCTCCTGGCTCCACCAATTGAGGTTTGGCCAGGAGAAGTCATAGATGCCTGTCCCCCTGGGTCCTCCGGCACAAGCTTATTTGTTTCATATTTAAGTTTAAGTCGTAGTTTCGTGGTAATTTTTTGAAGGTGGAGGGGTTACCAGCCCCTCGCACCCGTCCAGAGCCCCCGTTTAGCCCCTGTGGTGGTCACAGACGCCATGAGAGGAGAGGCCAATCGGAATTGGACCTCCCCCCACAGCACTGTCCACGACAGGGTTGCCCGTCCGGCACCGCGAGGAGGTAGGGGGTTGTTTTGCCGGACTCGTCCACACTCACACTCTGACACACACACACCACCACCACCACCACCCACATGAGTGGTGTCGGCGTGGCGAGGCCAGGACTACCACCATCACCACCAGCATCACCACCACCACCAGTACCACCACCACCAGTACCACCACCACCGCCACCACCACCCACACGAGTGGTATCGGCGTGGCGAGGCCAGGACTACCGGGTGACCCTCACGCTGTGGCAGCGCTGGAACGACGACCGCCTGCGCTACAGCAGCCGCGACTTCAACGCCACCGACCTGGACGAGTCCAACGCGGCCTTCATGTGGAAGCCCGACCTCTACTTTGGCAACGAGGAGAGCGCCACGGTGCACACCGTCACCACGCCCAACAGCATGCTGCGGATACACGACAACGGGGACGTCCTCTACTCCATGAGGTCTCACACAGCTACACATTCAGCTACACACTCAGCTACTCACTCAGCTACACACTGACACCGTCACCACGCCCAACAGCATGCTGCGGATACACGACAACGGGGACGTCCTCTACTCCATGAGGTCTCACACAGCTACACACTCAGCTACACACTCAGCTATCCACTCACTCACTCAGCTACTCACACAGCTACACACTCAGCTACACACTCAGCTATCCACTCACTCACTCAGCTACACACTCAGCTACACACTGACACCGTCACCACGCCCAACAGCATGCTGCGGATACACGACAACGGGGACGTGCTCTACTCCATGAGGTCTCGCCGCTCAGCTACTCACTCACTCAGCTACACACTCACTCAGCTACACACTTACTCAGCTACACACTCAGCTACTCACTCAGCTATCCACTCACTCACTCAGCTACACACTCAGCTACACACTGACACCGTCACCACGCCCAACAGCATGCTGCGGATACACGACAACGGGGACGTGCTCTACTCCATGAGGTCTTCCCGCTCAGCTACACACTCACTCAGCTACTCACTTACTCAGCTACACACTCAGCTACACACTCAGCTACACACTCACTCAGCTACACACTCAGCTACACACTAACTCAGCTACACACTGACACCGTCACGACGCCCAACAGCATGCTGCGGATACACGACAACGGGGACGTCCTCTACTCCATGAGGTCTCGCCGCTCAGCTACTCACTCACTCAGCTACCCAATCACTTACTAAGCTACACACTCAGCTACACACTCACACACTCACTCAGCTACACACTCACTCACTCAGCTACTCACACAGCTACTCACCCACCCAGCTACTCACTCACCCAGCTACTCACTCACCCAGCTACCCACTCACCCAGCTACCCACTCACCCAGCTACTCACTCACCCAGCTACCCACTCACTTAGCTACCCACTCACCCAGCTACCCACTCACTTAGCTACCCACTCACCCAGCTACCCACTCACTCAGCTACCCACTCACCCAGCTACCCACTCACTTAGCTACCCACTCACCCAGCTACCCACTCACCCAGCTACCCACTCACTTAGCTACCCACTCACCCAGCTACCCACTCACTTAGCTACCCACTCACCCAGCTACCCACTCACCCACCTACCCACTCACCCAGCTACCCACTCACTTAGCTACCCACTCACCCAGCTACCCACTCACTCACTCAGCTACCCACTCACCCAGCTATCCCACCCACCCAGCCACCCCGATCACTCAGCTACAGTCGCAAACGCTGCGCCGAAGCTCTGCCGCTAACGGCCTTCATCCGCGGCGCCAAATGAGCCCCTGCGCTGCAAGTGGGGAAACCGTTGAGGCGAAGCGAGAGTCCAGCCCCTTCACTGGCCGGTCCCCCCAGATGTTCACGCGCCCCGTCACGTGGGGGACGGAGATTAGCCAGCCGTCGCGACGAGGGGCGGGGGTGGGGGGTGGGGGGGGGGGGTGGGGGGTGGGGGGGGGTGGGGGGTGGGTGGTGGGGGTGGGGGGGGGAGCAGTGAGGGGAGCCGGTCTGGACGGAGAGGCTCCCGGTGGTTTTCGACAATCCCAGGGTCGCGTGAAGTCATTCTGCCTCGGCCGTTCGTGCGCCCGCCAGCCCGCCAGCCCGCCCGCCCGCCCGCTAGGCCCCGCGCGCGGTCTTTGGGAGTTTCCCGCTGCCGTCAGTGTGGAGCTGCTTCAGCCGCGACGTTTCCCACCCCCCCCCCCCACCCCCGGGACGCGTGGCGATGATCTCCCTACGTCCGCATTTCATTCCCCCCCCTGACAACAGCCGTCCCGGCCTGGCTGAGACGTAGCGTGTTCGTAACGACGCCGCTGTGTTGATCTGAGGCTACCCGCGACTGCCGGGAATCCGCGCTGCTGGTGTTCCTTTCGTGGTACATCAAAGCGCTCGTACGTCAAAAACAAAAGGAAAGGAAGCAGTGGAAACCTTGGCATTCGCGAGCAGAGTTCGTAGCGGAAACGTGATTTTGCAATGTCGAAGCACTCGTACGTCAATGCGCTCACACATCAAAGCCCTCGTACATCAAAGCACTCGTACGTCAAACCACTCGTATATCAAAGCACTCGTACATCAAAGCACTCGTACGTCAATGCGCTCACACATCAAAGCGCCCGTACATCAAAGCACTCGTACGTCAAAGCACTCGTACGTCAAAGCACTCGTACATCAAAGCACTCGTACGTCAAAGCGCTCACACATCAAAGCACTCACACATCAAAGCACTCGTACGTCAAAGCACTCGTACGTCAAAGCGCTCGTACATCAAAGCGTTCGTACGTCAAAACACTCGTACATCAAAGCGCTCGTAGATCAAAGCACTCGCACATCAAAGCACTCGTACGTCAAAGCACTCGTACGTCAAAGCCCTCGTACGTCAAAGCGCTCGTACGTCAAAGCGCTCGTACGTCAAAACACTCGTACATCAAAGCGCTCGCACATCAAAGCGCTTGCCGATCAAAGCACTCGTACGTCAAAGCACTCGTACGTCAATGCGCTCATACATCAAAGCCCTCGTACGTCAAAGCACTCGTACATCAAAGCACTCATACATCAAAGTGCCCATACATCAAAACACTCGCACATCAAAGCGCTCGCACATCAAAGCACTCGTACGTCAAAGCACTCGTACGTCAAAGCACTCGTACGTCAAAGCCCTCGTACGTCAAAGCGCTCGTACATCAAAGCGCTCGTACGTCAAAGCGCTCGTACGTCAAATCACTCGTACGTCAAAACACTCGTACGTCAAAGCACTCGTACGTCAAAGCACTCGTACGTCAAAGCACTCGTACGTAAAAGCGCTCGTATCAGTTGTGGTCAAGTGACGCTCGGCAGTACAAAGCGTGTCTCCACGTGCCGCTGCTCGTACCGCCAAGACCCTCGCTCGTTCATCAAGTCAATATTTACACACGTGTATATATATATAATGTTCAGCTCATCTTGCGAAACTCTCGCAGACCAAGGTTTCACTGCGAACGACAACGTTTCGGGCGCGCCCCAAGCGTCAGTCACCAGGCACCGTATTGGCTCGGTGCGGGGGCTGCAGGCCGGTGTCAGTGTCAGTTTCATTTTCAGTTTATTTTGGGTATAGCCCCCTGTGTGTGTGAGCCATCCGGCTCTTGAATCCGGGTGCACGCAGAAAAATCCATGGGGAAAAAAAATAAAAAATAAAACAGCAAAAATATTCCTTAAAAAAAAAAGCACCGTTACACCACCAGCGCCGCTTGCAAATAACCCCAGCGGGATTGCAAAGTCAAACAACAACAACAACAGCAACAGCAGCAACCACAACAACAACTACCACAAGACAACTTAAGATCAAGGCCATCAGTCGAACTCCGTACCGCAACAAAAACAAACGTGTCCGAACCAAAAAAAACGTTTTCCAAATCACTCAAAAAAACAAAGCCATAATCGCAACGTAACACTGATCACGGAGGGGGCAACTGTGACCGAATTTCGATTTATAAAGCTTTCGTGACTTGCAAGGATTCATCGTCTTTGGTTCTTTCGGCAAAAGTCACCACCACCACCACGTAGAGTGAGAACAAAATAATAAATCGATAAAATAAAACCACGCGATAATATTCTCACGACGTTTTTTTTTTTTCACGACGTTCCGGTGTGCTCCGGCCGAGACGTCGTGAGAACATTATTGCGTCATTTCGTGTTATCGATTCACTATTTTGGCTCTCATTCCACGTGACTTTACCGAAAGAACCAAAGAAGATGTGGCCGAATTTTGACAATAAACTCACGTGAATATAACACGTGTCACGCGGGCGGGGGCGGGGGCGGGGTCACGCGGTTGGGGGGGGGGTTCGGCCCTTCACCGAAGGATCTGGAAGGGTGAGCGGCAGCTGTCCACGCCCGAGCGGCTGTGAGCGGGACGTTGGCCAAGTTAGGGCCCGTCGGCTACCGGCCTCAGGCCTTTACGTTGGGCGCCACCCGCTGCTCTGGCCCGCAAGCGGTGCTAGCGCCCCGTAGCCCAGCGTGTGCCCCCTGGGTTTCAGCCGCTAGCGAGAGAGCGTTCACCCCCCCCCCCGGAACACCCCCGAGGACATCGTCTGTGCTGATGGCCTGGTACCTCTCGCTGCCGCTCGTCGCCACCGGCCCCATGAGTCCTCCCTCACGCCCGTAACAACGCGGAGCCGAACTTGGGGGAGCGGGGTGGGTGGGGGTATCGGGCAAATCTGCCGGCAGCGGGAAACCGTGGGACGGCCTCACGCGTAGGGGCCCGATGGATGAAAACTCGCGGTGACAGGCGACCGCCCCCCCCCCCAACGCGCCCCTCCCGCCCAACGCCCCTGGCGGGAGACTACGTGCGGGCGTGTGCACAGAGCACGTGTGTGTGTGCGTTCAGGGGCAGGGGCTGGGGGGGGGGGTAGGCGTGTCGTCAACAACACGTGTCACCATCAGCACGTGTCACCGTCAACAAAGCGTGTCACCACCCACGTGTGTCAACACCAACGCGTGGAACCACCAACACGTGTCATCAACAACACGTGTCATCAACAACACGTGTCACCAACAACACGTGTCATTACCAACAACACGTGTCATCAACAACACGTGTCATCAACAACACGTGTCACCAACAACACGTGTCATTACCAACAACACGTGTCACCACCAACACGTGTCATCACCAACGCGTATCACCACCCACGTGTGTCAACACCAACGCGTGGAACCACCAACGCATGTCATCAACAACACGTGTCATCACCAACACGTGTCACCGTCAACAACGCGTGTCATTACCAACACGTGTGTCATCAACAACACGGGTCATCAACAACACGTGTCACCACCCACGTGTGTCAACACCAACGCGTGGAACCACCAACGCATGTCATCAACAACACGTGTCATCAACAACACGTGTCATCAACAACACGTGTCACCAACAACACGTGTCATCATCAACACGTGTCATCATCAACACGTGTCACCGTCAACAACGCGTGTCACCACCCACGTGTGTCACCACCAACGCGTGTCATCAACAACATGTGTCACCAACAACACGTGTCATCATCAACACGTGTCATCATCAACACGTGTCACCGTCAACAACGCGTGTCACCACCCACGTGTGTCATCAACAACGCGTGTCATCAACAACACGTGTCACCAACAACACGTATCACCACCCACGTGTGTCACCACCAACGCGTGTCATCACCAACACGTGTCACCACCAACGCGTGTCATCACCAACACGTGTCGTCACCAACACGTGTAACCACCAACGCGTGGAACCACCAACGCGTGGAACCACCAACACGTGTCATTACCAACACGTGTCATTACCAACACGTGTCATTACCAACACGTGTCATCAACAACACGTGTCATCACCAACACGTGTCATCACCAACGCGTGTCACCAACAACGCGTGTCACCAACAACACGTGTCACCAACAACACGTGTCATCAACAACACGTGTCATCCCCAACACGTGTCACCAACAACACGTGTCATCACCAACACGTGTCATCAACAACACGTGTCATCCCCAACACGTGTCACCAACAACACGTGTCATCACCAACACGTGTCACCAACAACACGTGTCACCAACAACACGTGTCACCAACAACACGTGTCACCAACAACGCGTGTCATCAACAACACGTGTCACCACCCCACGTGTCACCACCACCACGTGTCACCACCACCACGTGTCACCACCACCCCACGTGTCACCACCCCACGTGTCACCACCCCCACGTGTCACCACCCCACGTGTCACCACCCACACGTGTCACCACCACCCCCACGTGTCACCACCCACACGTGTCACCACCACCCCCACGTGTCACCACCCCACGTGTCACCACCCCACGTGTCACCACCCCCACGTGTCACCACCACCCCACGTGTCACCACCCCACGTGTCACCACCCCCACGTGTCACCACCACCCCCACGTGTCACCACCCCCACGTGTCACCACCCCCACGTGTCACCACCCCCACGTGTCATCATCATCACCACGTGTCACCACCCCCACGTGTCACCACCCCCACGTGTCACCATCACCCCCACGTGTCACCATCACCCCCACGTGTCACCACCACCCCCACGTGTCACCACCCCCACGTGTCACCACCACCCCCACGTGTCACCACCCCCACGTGTCACCACCCCCACGTGTCACCACCCCCACGTGTCACCACCACCACGTGTCACCACCCCCACGTGTCACCACCCCCACGTGTCATCATCATCACCACGTGTCACCACCCCCACGTGTCACCACCCCCACGTGTCACCATCACCCCCACGTGTCACCACCACCCCCACGTGTCACCACCACCCCCACGTGTCACCACCACCCCCACGTGTCACCACCCCACGTGTCACCACCCCCACGTGTCACCACCCCACGTGTCTCTCCGTCTCGTGCCTTCAGGCTGACGCTCACCCTCAGCTGCCCCATGGACCTCCGCACGTTCCCCATGGACACGCAAACCTGTCCCTTGCTCATCACCAGTGGTGAGTGTCTAGTGTAGTGTATAGTGTAGTGTATAGTGTAGTGTATAGTGTAGTGTATAGTGTATAGTAGTGTAGTACCTGTCCCTTGCTCATCACCAGCGGTGAGTGTCTAGTGTAGTGTATAGTGTAGTGTATAGTGTAGTGTATAGTGTAGTGTATAGTGTAGTGTATAGTGTAGTGTATAGTGTAGTGTATAGTGTAGTACCTGTCCCTTGCTCATCACCAGCGGTGAGTGTCTAGTGTAGTGTATAGTGTAGTGTATAGTGTAGTGTATAGTGTAGTGTATAGTGTAGTGTATAGTGTAGTGTATAGTGTAGTGTATAGTGTAGTGTATAGTGTAGTGTATAGTAGTGTAGTACCTGTCCCTTGCTCATCACCAGCGGTGAGTGTCTAGTGTGGTGTATAGTGTAGTGTATAGTGTAGTGTATAGTGTAGTGTATAGTGTAGTGTATAGTGTAGTGTATAGTGTAGTATAGTGTAGTGTAGTACCTGTCCCTTGCTCATCACCAGTGGTGAGTGTCTAGTGGTGTAGTGTATAGTGTAGTGTAGTGTATATTAGTGTAGTGTATAGTGTAGTGTAGTGTATAATGTAGTGTAGTGTATAGTGTAGTGTATAGTAGTGTAGTACCTGTCCCTTGCTCATCACCAGCGGTGAGTGTCTAGTGGTGTAGTGTATAGTGTAGTGTATAGTGTAGTGTATAGTGTAGTGTATAGTGTAGTGTAGTGTATAGTGTAGTGTAGTACCTGTCCCTTGCTCATCACCAGCGGTGAGTGTCTAGTGGTGTAGTGTATAGTGTAGTGTATAGTGTAGTGTATAGTGTAGTGTGTAGTGTATAGTGTATAGTGTAGTGTATAGTGTAGTGTATAGTAGTGTAGTACCTGTCCCTTGCTCATCACCAGTGGTGAGTGTGTAGTGTATAGTGTAGTGTATAGTGTAGTGTATAGTGTATAGTGTAGTGTATAGTAGTGTAGTGTATAGTGTAGTGTATAGTGTAGTGTATAGTGTAGTGTATAGTGTAGTGTAGTACCTGTCCCTTGCTCATCACCAGTGGTGAGTGTCTAGTGTAGTGTATAGTGTAGTGTATAGTGTAGTGTAGTGTATAGTAGTGTAGTACCTGTCCCTTGCTCATCACCAGTGGTGAGTGTCTAGTGGTGTGTATAGTGTAGTGTATAGTGTAGTGTAGTGTATAGTGTAGTGTATAGTGTAGTGTGTAGTGTATAGTGTAGTGTATAGTAGTGAAGTACCTGTCCCTTGCTCATCACCAGCGGTGAGTGTCTAGTGTAGTGTATAGTGTAGTGTATAGTGTAGTGTATAGTAGTGTAGTGTATAGTAGTGTAGTGTATAGTGTAGTGTATAGTAGTGTAGTACCTGTCCCTTGCTCATCACCAGCGGTGAGTGTCTAGTGTAGTGTATAGTGTAATGTAGTGTATAGTGTAGTGTATAGTAGTGTAGTGTATAGTAGTGTAGTGTATAGTGTAGTGTTGTGTATAGTAGTGTAGTGTATAGTGTAGTGTATAGTGTAGTGTATAGTGTAGTGTATAGTGTAGTGTGTAGTGTAGTGTGTAGTGTAGTGTATAGTGTAGTGTATAGTGTAGTGTATAGTGTAGTGTATAGTGTAGTGTATAGTGTAGTGTATAGTGTAGTGTATAGTGTAGTGTATAGTGTAGTGTATAGTGTAGTGTATAGTGTAGTGTATAGTGTAGTGTATAGTGTAGTGTATAGTGTAGTGTATAGTGTGTAGTGTATAGTGTGTAGTGTATAGTGTGTAGTGTATAGTGTGTAGTGTATAGTGTGTAGTGTATAGTGTGTAGTGTATAGTGTGTAGTGTATAGTGTAGTGTATAGTGTAGTGTATAGTGTAGTGTATAGTGTAGTGTATAGTGTAGTGTATAGTGTAGTGTATAGTGTAGTGTATAGTGTAGTGTATAGTGTAGTGTATAGTGTAGTGTATAGTGTAGTGTATAGTGTAGTGTATAGTGTAGTGTATAGTGTAGTGTATAGTGTAGTGTATAGTGTAGTGTATAGTGTAGTGTATAGTGTAGTGTATAGTGTAGTGTATAGTGTAGTGTATAGTGTAGTGTATAGTGTAGTGTATAGTGTAGTGTATAGTGTAGTGTATAGTGTAGTGTATAGTGTAGTGTATAGTGTAGTGTATAGTGTAGTGTATAGTGTAGTGTATAGTGTAGTGTATAGTGTAGTGTATAGTGTAGTGTATAGTGTAGTGTATAGTGTAGTGTATAGTGTAGTGTATAGTGTAGTGTATAGTGTAGTGTATAGTGTAGTGTATAGTGTAGTGTATAGTGTAGTGTATAGTGTAGTGTATAGTGTAGTGTATAGTGTAGTGTATAGTGTAGTGTATAGTGTAGTGTATAGTGTAGTGTATAGTGTAGTGTATAGTGTAGTGTATAGTGTAGTGTATAGTGTAGTGTATAGTGTAGTGTATAGTGTAGTGTATAGTGTAGTGTATAGTGTAGTGTATAGTGTAGTGTATAGTGTAGTGTATAGTGTAGTGTATAGTGTAGTGTATAGTGTAGTGTATAGTGTAGTGTATAGTGTAGTGTATAGTGTAGTGTATAGTGTAGTGTATAGTGTAGTGTATAGTGTAGTGTATAGTGTAGTGTATAGTGTAGTGTATAGTGTAGTGTATAGTGTAGTGTATAGTGTAGTGTATAGTGTAGTGTATAGTGTAGTGTATAGTGTAGTGTAGTACCTGTCCCTTGCTCATCACCAGTGGTGAGTGTCTAGTGGTGTAGTGTATAGTGTAGTGTAGTGTATATTAGTGTAGTGTATAGTGTAGTGTAGTGTATAGTGTAGTGTAGTGTATAGTGTAGTGTATAGTAGTGTAGTACCTGTCCCTTGCTCATCACCAGCGGTGAGTGTCTAGTGTAGTGTAGTGTATAGTGTAGTGTATAGTGTAGTGTATAGTGTAGTGTATAGTGTAGTGTAGTGTATAGTAGTGTATAGTGTAGTGTATAGTGTAGTGTATAGTGTAGTGTATAGTGTAGTGTATAGTGTAGTATAGTGTAGTGTATAGTGTATAGTGTAGTGTGTAGTGTAGTGTATAGTAGTGTAGTGTATAGTGTATAGTGTAGTATAGTGTGTAGTGTAGTGTATAGTGTAGTGTATAGTGTAGTGTATAGTAGTGTATAGTGTAGTGCATAGTGTAGTGTATAGTGTAGTGTATAGTAGTGCATAGTGTAGTGCATAGTGCAGTGTATAGTGCAGTGTATAGTGTAGTGTATATTGTAGTGTATATTGTAGTGTATAGTGTAGTGTATAGTGTAGTGTATAGTGTAGTGTATAGTGTAGTGTATAGTGTAGTGTATAGTGTAGTGTATAGTGTAGTGTATAGTGTAGTGTGTAGTGTATAGTGGTTCTAAAGTCTCCCTCCCCCCCTCCCTCCCCTCCACAACTCCAGCGAGCTACACGGAGCGAGATATGCTTCTCCGCTGGAGGGTGGAGCAAGCCATCGTGTTGGCTGACGACCTCAGCATCCCCCACTTTGAGTTGGACCCCAACATCACCCTGGAGGACTGCGCAGAGACCTACCGCACAGGTACCACGTGGGTCCTGCACTGGTGTCACGTGGGTCCTGCACTGGTGTCACGTGGGTCCTGCGCAGGTGTCACGTGGGTCCTGCACAGGTATCACGTGGGTCCTGCGCGAGTGTCACGTGGGTACTGCACTGGTGTCACGTGCGTCCTGCACAGGTACCACGTGGGTCCTGCATAGGTGTCACGTGGGTCCTGCAGAGGCACCACGTGGGTCCTGCACAGTGTGCACGTGGGTCCTGCACAGGTGTCACGTGGGTCCTGCACAGGTGTCACGTGGGTCCTGCGCAGGTGTCACGTGGGTCCTGCACAGGTGTCACGTGGGTCCTGCACAGGTGTCACGTGGGTCCTGCGCAGGTGTCACGTGGGTCCTGCACAGGTGTCACGTGCGTCCTGCACAGGTGTCACGTGGGTCCTGCGCAGGTGTCACGTGGGTCCTGCACAGGTACCACGTGGGTCCTGCACAGGTGTCACGTGGGTCTTGCACAGGTGTCACGTGGGTCCTGCACTGGTGTCACGTGCGTCCTGCACAGGTGTCACGTGGGTCCTGCACAGGTGTCACGTGGGTCCTGCGCGGGTGTCACTTGGGTCCTGCACAGGTGTCACGTGCGTCCTGCACAGGTGTCACGTGGGTCCTGCACAGGTGTCACGTGGGTCCTGCGCGGGTGTCACGTGGGTCCTGCACAGGGGTCACGTGAGTCCTGCGCAGGCACCACGTGGATCCTGCACAGGTGTCACGTGCGTCCTGCACACGTGTCACGTGGGTCCTGCACAGGTACCACGTGGGTCCTGCACAGGTGTCACGTGGGTCTTGCACAGGTGTCACGTAGGTCCTGCACAGGTACCACGTGGGTCCTGCACAGGTGTCACGTGGGTCCTGCACAGTGCGGACGTGGGTCCTGCACAGGTGTCACGTGGGTCCTGCACAGGTGTCACGTGGGTCCTGCACAGGCACCACGTGGGTCCTGCACAGGTGTCACGTGGGTCCTGCACAGGTACCACGTGGGTCCTGCACAGGTACCACGTGGGTCCTGCACAGGTACCACGTGGGTCCTGCACAGGTGTCACGTGGGTCCTGCACAGGTACCACGTGGGTCCTGCACAGGTGTCACGTGGGTCCTGCACAGGTATCACGTGAGTTCTGCACAGGTGTCACGTGGGTCCTGAACAGGTATCCCCTACCTGACAACCGCGGTGGCCAGTAGATGTTGACTACCTCGCCTGGTACACAGGAGGTCGTGGGTTCAATCCCAGACACTGAGAGATGTTGACTACCTCGCCTGGTACACAGGAGGTCGTGGGTTCAATCCCAGACCCTGAGAGATGTTGACTACCTCGCCTGGTACACAGGAGGTCGTGGGTTCAATCCCAGACCCTGAGAGATGTTGACTACCTCGCCTGGTACACAGGAGTTCGTGGGTTCAATCCTAGACACTGAGAGATGTTGACTACCCCGCCTGGTACACAGGAGGTTGTGGGTTCAATCGTAGACACTGAGAGATGTTGACTACCTCGCCTGGTACACAGGAGGTTGTGGGTTCAATCCTAGACACTGAGAGATGTTGACTACCTCGCTTGGTATGCAGGAGGTAGTGGGTTCAATCCCAGACACTGAGAGATGTTGACTACCTCGCCTGGTACCTTGGAGGTCGTGGGTTCAACCCCAGACACTGAGAAATGTTGACTACCTCGCTTGGTATGCAGGAGGTCGTGGGTTCAATCCCAGACACTGAGAGATGTTGACTACCTCGCATGGTACCTTGGAGGTCGTGGGTTCAATACCAGACAATGAGAAATGTTGACTACATCGCCTGGTACACAGGAGGCCGTGGGTTCAATCCCAGACACTGAGAGATGTTGACTACCTCGCCTGATACGCAGGAGGTCGCGGGTTCAATCCAAGACACTGAGAGATGTTGACTACCTTGCCTGGTACGCAGGAGGTCGTTGGTTCAATCCCAGACACTGAGAGATGTCGACTACCTCGCCTGGTATGCAGGAGGTCGCGGGTTCAATCCCAGACACTGAGAGATGTTGACTACCTCGCCTGGTACACAGGAGGTCGTGGGTTCAATCCCAGACACTGAAAGATGTTGACTACCTCGCCTGGTATGCATGACGTCGTGGGTTCAATCCCAGACACTGAGAGATGTTGACTACCTAGCCTGGTTCACAGGAGGTCGTGGGTTCAATCCCAGACACTGAGAGATGTTGACCACCTCGCCTGGTACACAGGAGGTCGTGGGTTCAATCCCAGACACTGAGAGATGTTGACTACCTCCCCTGGTACACAGAAAGTCGTGGGTTCAATCCCAGACACTGAGAGATGTTGACTACCTCCCCTGGTACACAGAAAGTCGTGGGTTCAATCCCAGACCGTGAGAGATGTTGACTACCTCGCCTGGTACGCAGGAGGTCGTGGGTTCAATCCCAGACACTGAGAGATGTCGACTACCTCGCGTGGTACACAGGAGGTCGTGAGTTCAATCCCAGACCCTGAGAGATGTTGACTACCTCGCCTGGTATGCAGGAGGTCGTGGGTTCAATCCCAGACCCTGAGAGAAATCCCAGACCCTGAGAGATGTTGACTACCTCGCCTTCTACTCAGGAGTTCAATCCCAGACCCTGAGAGATGTTCACTACCTCGCCTGGTACGCAGGAGGTCGTTGGTTCAATCCCAGACACTGAGAGATGTCGACTACCTCGCCTGGTACGCAGGATGTCGCGGGTTCAATCCCAGACACTGAGAGATGTTGACTACCTCGCCTGGTATGCAGGACGTCGCGAGTTCAATCCCAGACACTGAGAGATGTTGAATACCTCGCCTGATACACAGGAGGTCGTGGGTTCAATCCCAGACACTGAGAGATGTTGACTACCTCGCCTGGTATGCAGGAGGTCGTGGGTTCAATCCCAGACACTGAGAGATGTTGACTCCCTCGCCTGATACGCAGGAGGTCGTGGGTTCAATCCCAGACACTGAGACATGTTGACTACATCGCCTGGTACACAGGAGGTCGTGGGTTCAATCTCAGACACTGAGAGATGTTGACTACCTCGCCTGGTATGCAGGACGTCGTGGGTTCAATCCCAGACACTGAGAGATGTTGACTACCTAGCCTGGTTCACAGGAGGTCGTGGGTTCAATCCCAGACACTGAGAGATGTTGACCACCTCGCCTGGTACACAGGAGGTCGTGGGTTCAATCCCAGACACTGAGAGATGTTGACTACCTCGCCTGGTACGCAGGAGGTTGCGGGATCGATCCCAGACACTGAGAGATGTTGGCTACCTCGCCTGGTACACACGAGGTTCGTGGGTTCAATCCCAGACACTGAGAGATGTTGACTACCTCCCCTGGTACACAGAAAGTCGTGGGTTCAATCCCAGACACTGAGAGATGTTGACTAACTCGCCGGGGACGCAGGAGGTAGTGGGTTCAATCCCAGACCGTGAGAGATGTTGACTACCTCGCCTGGTACGCTGGAGGTCGTGGGTTCAATCCCAGACACTGAGAGATGTCGACTACCTCGCGTGGTACACAGGAGATCGTGAGTTCAATCCCAGACCCTGAGAGATGTTGACTACCTCGCCTGGTACGCAGGAGGTCGTGGGTTCAATCCCAGACCCTGAGAGATGTTGACTACCTCGCCTGGTACGCAGGAGGTCGTGGGTTCAATCCCAGACCCTGAGAGAAATCCCAGACCCTGAGAGATGTTAACTACCTCGCCTGGTACACAGGAGTTCGTGGGTTCAATCCAAGACACTGAGAGATGTTGACTACCTCGCCTGGTACGCAGGAGGTCGTGGGTTCAACCCAGACACTGAGAGATGTCGACTACCTCGCTGGGTACACAGGAGGTCGTGGGTTCAATCCCGGACCCTGAGAGATGTTGACTATCTCGCCTGGTACGCAGGACGTCGTGGGTTCAATCCCAGACCCTGAGAGAAATCCCAGACCCTGAGAGATGTTGACTACCTCGCCTGCTACTCAGGAGGTCGTGGGTTCAATCCCAGACACTGAGAAATGTTGACTACCTCGCCTGCTACTCAGGAGGTCGTGGGTTCAATCCCAGACACTGAGAGATGTTAACTACCTCGCCTGGTACACAGGAGGTCGTGGGTTCAATCCAGGACACTGAGAGATGTTGACTACCTCGCCTGGTTCATAGGAGGTCGTGGGTTCAATCCCAGACACTGAGAGATGTTGACTACCTCGCCTGGTACACAGGAGGTCGCGGGTTCAATCCGAGATACTGAGAGATGTTGACTACCTCGCCTGGTGCGCAGGAGGTCGTGGGTTCGAACCCGACCCTGACGATGCCTGCTGCTGCTGTATATTTGGAGTCTGCGTTTCTCCCTGTCACTCATCATCACGGTGGCTAGGACATGTTTACTTCCTCACTCACACACCCACCCACTTATCCACTTACTCACCCACCCACTCACACACGCACCCACTCACCCAACCACCCACCCACTCGCTCACCCACCGACTCGCCCACCCACTCACTTACCCACCCACCTACTCACCCACCCACCCACTCAACCACCCACACACCCACTCACCCACTCACTCACCCACCCACTCAACTACCCACACACCCACCCACTCACCCACCCACTCACCCACTAACCCACCCACTCACCCACCCACTCACCCACCCACTCAACTACCCACACACCCACTCACCCACCCACCCATTCAACCATACCACACACCCACTCACCCACTCACCCACCCATTCAACCACCCACACACCCACTCAACCAGTCACCCACCCACTCAACCACCCACACACCCACTCACTCACCCACCCACTCACCCACCCATTCAACCACCCACTCAACTACCCACACACCCACTCACCCACTCACTCACTCACTCACCCACTCACTCACCCACTCACCCACCTACTCAACCACCTACACCCCCACTCACCCGCTCACCCACTCACTCACCCACCCACTCACCCACCCACTCAAACCCACCCACTCACCCACCCACTCAAACCCACCCACTCACCCACCCACTCAAACCCACCCACTCAACCCCACCAACCCACTCACTCACCCACCCACCCACTCACTCACCCACCCACGCATCCACCCATCTACCCACTCGCTCACCCGCTCAACCACCCAATGACCCACCCACTGACCCACCCACCAACCCTCCCACTCACCCACCCACCCACTAACCCACTCACTCAAACCCACCCACTCAAACCCACCAATTCACTCACTCACTCACCCACCCACCCACTCACTCACTCACCCACCCACGCATCCACCCACCCACCCATTCGCTCACCCACCCACTCAACCACCCACACACCCACTCACCCACTCACCCAACCACTCAACCACCCACACACCCACTCACCCACCCACTCACCCACCCACTCACCCACCCACCCACTCACCCACCCACTCAACCACCCACACACCAACTCACCCGCTCACTCACCTACCTACCCACCCACCCACTCACCCACCCACTCACTCACCCACTCACCCACCCACTCAACCACCCACACACCCACTCACCCACTCACCCACCCATTCAACCACCCACACACCCTCTCACCCACTCACCCACCCACTCACCCACCTACTCAACCACCCACACACCCACTCACCCGCTCACTCACCTACCTACCCACCCACCTACCCACTCACTCACCCACCCATCCACTCACTCACTCACTCACCCACCCACCCACTCACTCACCCACCCACCCACCCATTCAACCACCCACACACCCACTCATCCGCTCACTTACCTACCTACCCACCGACCCACACACCCACTCATCCACCTACTCAACCACCCACACACCCACTCACCCGCTCACTCACCTACCTACCCACCCACCTACCCACTCAATCACCCACCCATCCACTCACTCACTCACCCACCCACCCACTCACTCACCCACCCACCCACCCATTCAACCACCCACACACCCACTCATCCGCTCACTTGCCTACCTACCCACCCACCCACTCACTCACCCACCCACCCACCCACTCAACCACCCACACACCCACTCACCCGCTCACTCACCTACCTACCCACCCACCCACCCACTCACTCACCCACCCACCCACCCACTCAATCACTCACCCACCCACCCACCCATTCACACACTTACCTACCCACTCGCTCACCCACTCAACCACCCACTGACCCACTCACTCACCC